GGGACCACATCCTCAGTTGAGCATGCTGTCCCATAGCTGTGGTAGATGCCATCAGCCCCAGAAGTCACTGGACCTGTAGGGCAGGGAACCAAGCACCTGAAGAAAAGGAGCATAATAAATTATGCATTTTCACAGTCATTGTCAGAGGGGAAAAGCCTGCATCAAGAAAGTATCCAAAGTTGCATTAATACAATTTAGACATTGCGTAGGTTGCAAAGTCAGCTTCTCTATGTTGACCTTTAGTCCTAACACTGACGAAAGAGACAGTGTTGAGGATCTGTGTTTACAAGCTTGTGACTTGGACTCAGCGACCAGGAGCTGGTTATCCAAATATGGGTAAACAGTGATTCCTCCAACTGAAAACCTGAGAAAGCGTTGATGGTCTGACTGGATGCTAGCATGAAAATGAACATCTTACAATAAACCAACTCCCTGGATGTAACATGTGAATGACACAGTCCAAGGAAGCCATACAGAATCTTCATAGAGTAATAAAAGAATTCAGGCCTCCAAAATCAAGGATGGGCCAGAGGCCTCCATCCTCTTTTGGGGGGTGGGGGTGGGCTTTAATGTGGCCTGTGACAGGAGGTACACTGAATTCAGTGGCATAGCTGGTAGCTATGATAGAGAGTACCAAAGTGTTAGATGTGAAGGAACAACAATTGGAAAGACAAGGGGTTAAACGGACTGATTGGTCAATGACAGAGAAGTCAGGTGCAGTAAAAAGACTGCTTGGTTTTGCAGTCCTGCCTGCGGCTTTGTTGGTCAGGGCGCTGCCTGCCCACATGTCAAGGGGGTGGCGGCCGGTAACTTGGGGGTTGGGGGCTTTGACGTCCCTGGGATGCCCTAGGCTGGTAGAAACATCTCCAGGTACTTGCAGTTGTTAACGCCTCAAATGACTGTGTCACCTTCCAGAGCTTGAGCAGGTTATCAAGAATAACATCAGTTTTCTGACCAAAAAGCCCTGCACCATCAAACGGCAGGTCCTTGACCTGCCAGTTGTTCGGATGTTGGTTTTAAGGCATGTCGAGCAGCAATGCGCTCATGACGTGCCGGCCCCATTGCCTCCTGGTGGTAGGAGAGGCCCTGACTGTAAAGGTGCACAGGAGCAACCTGCAGAATGGGCAGTGCCAAATTCCATAAGTGGTGATGATAAGCACCCATGGCAGTGGAGTAATTGGCTACATGGTGGCCAGAAAATAAAAACGGCAGCCAAAGATCTCCTTATCTGTGTTCTCTGTATCAGTTGGGAATATGAAGAACAACCTACTAACGGCAAAGGAGGGTGACTATCTGTGGCAACTGATATGGGTGTAGGAAGATTGGTTGGAAAATCTTCCTCCCCCTCTGACTCATGTGACTCCCAGCTGGCCACATAACCACGGAAGATTATCTTTGGACAAATGCTAGCTCTATGGGTTGGAAACAGAGATGAGCACCACTCCCTAGAGTCGGACACAACTGGACAAATTGTCAAGGGAAACCTTTACCTTTTTACCTTCTAATGATTAGGAGAGACATCTTTCTTAGCATGAGCCTGACCAAGATCAGTCTCGACACAGTCGCTGGGATGGAGAAGGCTGAATGGGCTAACAGCGGGTTTGGCCGAACCTGTGGACACTTTGCTGCCAGAGCCGCGTTCGAGGGAGCACTACTCCTTCGAGGCGCAGGTGGAGGCACAAAGCACTCCTTGACCTGTGGCTCAGAACAGTGCCAGGTGGAGTGGTGGCAGAAAAGGTGGCGGATAAGGCTCATAGCTCCTATACTGAATAAAAGGGACTGGCCCTGCTCAAACTTGTCAGCGTAATAGGACCCTATAGAGGAAAAATACTCAGGTCTGCCTAACAGCCACAAGGTTCTTGGGTCGACTCCTATGAGTCCTTTCCCTAAGAGCCTACACAGGCGCCGGTGGCTGAGGTGGGACCGCAGGCTGCTGTGTGAATGGGCTCATTGATAAATGAGGGATGTTTCATGCCAAATTATCAACCACTAAAAAGGTGTTACCCCAGTCAGGAATATCACTGACAGGTGGCGCTGGCAGTAGGAGCTGCAGGGCGCCCTTTCTTTCCCCAAAGGCAAAGCCAAGGCTTACTGTATGTTGCCGGAACATCTTCAGCCTTGGCACCCAGCTCTCTCCGGAATTAGCAGCTGTATGAACGAGCCCATGAATGAGGGCTGTTCCGTGTCAACCTCCAAAGAGGTTTTTACCCCGTCAGGAGAATCACTGACGAGCACGGATGGCGGCAGGAGCTGCAGGAAACCTTTTCTTCTTCCAAGGGCAAAGCTAGGGCTACCATATGTTGCTGGGATATCTCCGACTATGGCGCCCAGCTCTCTGCAGACTTAGCTCAGATGCTATCCTTTTTTTGACACAGAGGAAGATTGCAAAGAGGTGGACAGCTGTTGCTCTTGAGCCTGTGGGTAGCCTTGTGAAGGTAAAAAGAGACCTTATTTCTTTAAGAGAAAAGCCCTGAGGGCTCCAAAGCCAGCTTTGTAAAGCTTTTACAAAGAATACCTAACACTGGCTGGTGCTCTTCCCTCAGGCAGAAGAAACAATTTGTTGCTGAAGAACAAGGGAGGTCAAAGAAAGGAAAGATAATAGAATGGTTTTTTACTTGTGAAGTTCCTAATGAAGCTGCTGCTACAGCTGCGGTTGAAAAAAGAACTGAGGCACTGGGTACCGGGGCGGAGTTATATAGCTGGTGTAGGGGAGGTTCCGGCACTAAGTGCTTAATGCTGTGGAAGTTTCCAAGAATGCTCTGGTCAGGCGCAGATTAACCCATTAGTGTGTATTCACAGAGACCACAAAGGAGAACCAACACTGGCTTCATCGGCTTTAGCCAAGGAGATCATCCTGCCCCTCTGCCTCTGATTTAACTTCAACTGGTCACCCCACTAATAAGACTCAATTAGACTCACCAAAACAATGAAACTTACCTAAATGTTGACAGGTTTTAAATGGTTCTAGCTACGACTAGAATTATTAGATTCATTTTCTTTATTCCAAATATGACTCTTCAGAATATTAGTGTTGGATTGTACCTCTCCATTACACCACATTCAGAGGAGCAGAATGATCTCCACTATCAGTGTCATCATTTGAGGAACAGACTACAATTCCCGTGCAAGTTTGAAAAGTTATTTTTCATGAAGGAAGAGCCTGAGATATCAGCCTGACTGTTGCACTACTAAAGCATACCGTTGCAGGAGGGACAGTCCAAGATGGTGGCTTTTAGGTGCTTTGAAGCCAGAATAACACCATACTTGTACAGGGAACTGACCATGGTGGTGACTCTTCCTCTGACCATCATTACAAATATCATGTGAGCCCAAGTGAGGAACAGGATAGATTAATACTCTAAAGACAGCCCCACCCTTTTTCTTTATATAAAACATTGATCTACAATTGATTACTGTCCTATGACTCAGTCTGGATGTAATAAATTAGAACACACACACACACACTTTTTAAAAATGTACAGTATAATTATAACATTCCCCTATCTTGATGTTGGGGCGCTCACCACTTTGGTCCATATGCTTGTAATCTCGCGATTAGACCACTGTAATGCGCTCTACCTGGCACTACCTTTGAGATTGATGTGGAAGCTTCAAATGGTGCAGAATGCGGCAGACAAACTTCTTAGTGGGGTGAGAAAACACCAGCATATTTCTCCCACTCTGGCAGTCTTGCATTGGCTGCCCGTTCGTTTCTGCATTGATTTCAAAGTGTTAATGATTACATATAAAGCCCTAAATGGTTTAGGATCTCGATACTTGGCGGAACGCCTTCTTCCACCTAGATCTACTCTTATCACTCATTTTAGCCAAGAGGGGTAGTTGAGGAGCCTAACACCGAGGGAGGCCTGGAAAGAAAAAACAAAAAAAACGGGCCTTCTCAGCAGTGGCCCCGCTTGTGGAGTAATCTCCCCTCCAAGATCCACTTGGCCTCTTCGCTGGGTATTTTCAAAAGCCAACTCAAAACCTGGCTATTTAGGCAGGCCTTCCCTCTGGGTACCACCTGATTTATCTACCTCCCATCTTGAATGATATGCTTATTGCTGTGAAATTGTTGTTGATATGTTTGTTTTTTATTCTATTTTGTTGTGAGCCGCCCAGAGTAGACGCTGTCTAGATGGGCAGGATCCAAGTTTAATAAACAAACAAACAAAATGTAGCCCCGATTAGAATAGACCCACTGATTCATTATGTCTGTTCTAGCTAGAATTAACTATTGGATTTAGCTGTGTGGTTGAATTCAGATTGACACACTGAAACAGGACTAACTGTATTTATTTCAGTATGTCTGCTTTAAGAGAAACTATGCCTGGACCCAGACTCTCATCTGTAGAATAATAATTAGGGCTTAACTCTCCGTTCTCTGAACATATGTTCCACAGCTCTTTTCGAAATAGCAGTTTCACAGGAAGCTTGGGGTCAGCGGGAGACTGATGGCTGCCACAGAAATGATTGTACAATGAAAGGCAAGACCTACCTGTATATGTCTCGCATCATTAGGCACAAGGAAGTACACCGAGCTAATGACAAAAAGGGAGTGGTTGGGGCAGCAGGTATTTCGTCCTACAATACTTTTCTTCTGTTGCAAACCATTGACTTCCTTCATAAAGATTTTCTTCCATTGTTGTTTTAGGGAGCCGATTACAACAAGTGTCAATATTTGCAAGGAAATAAATGAAGTCACAACAGGTGATGAAAAATAAAAAAGGCGACTAGAAGATGACACTGAAAATCAGAACAATTTAGTATCCCAATCCTAATCCCAGGGGTAGGGATCCAGCAGTGATTATTTTACTATTGAATCCCCCCTCACAACATCTCAAGGCTCCCAAAGGCTTCTGCAGAGCAAAAGGGAACCCTAGAGAGCCTCACGGCCTGAAAGGTAGGGATAGAAAGCTTTTCATTAAATATTTCCAGCACCTGATCCTAGTTACATCAGGGTAAAGTAACACAAAAGGATTTTGCTCAATATATACTTTATTTTTTAAGGATATCAGACAAGATGAAGAAACAGACCTTATATATACAAAACTAACTTTATTATATAATTCTGCCTTATCAAGGACAGGCACTTTTCAGGTAGAAGAAAGAGATAAAATGGTTTGAAAGATAATTGTGTTTATTTTCTAAAATTTTACCTGTGAATATAACAAATGAATAATTCAATGACTTGATATAGTGACTTCTTTACAAAAAAAATTTCCCTTAACATCTGGACAGCAATATATAAATATTTACAATGGAAAAATAGGCAAGGAAAGAGAAATAAGTAGTCTTCATTATCCAAATTAATTTCTAATACATCAGATTTGAACAGAAAATACTTCATTCACATCTATCCAGTATTTACATGATGTATTATGGGAAAGCTCTGAGGTTTACTTTTATTTTTAGACTATTTGTTATGTTACTCCTGTTATGTCTCTAATATTTATTTCTGTATAGCAGTTAAAAACTTTCTGAAAAAATAAACCATTGTTCTGAAAATGCTGAAAACATTAATGAGTACAATTTTAAGTGACATTTTCCTGCACAGTGAATTACATCACAACACTGAAAAACGGTTGGACACAGATTTTCTGAACAGATCCTAACATGGCAGGTTTTAATTAAAAGTGGTTTCCAAATTGAAATAAGAAATTATAATTTTGCTTAATGTTAAATAAAGTTTACTTTCTGCAAGTGGATACAATGTTGTGAGAGACAAATATAAAGTTGTACTGGAATATGCATCGAAAGCCTCAAGCAAAATATATTGATTTGTTAACGAATTAACAGAATAAATCTGTAACAATGTGATAAAACCATTCATCAGTGTCAACCATTAAACACAGAAAATAAGTCTTGTTGCTTTCTGCACTAGTGTTGCACAATCACATGACTGAAAACAGGTTGCCTGCAATAATGACAACACCTACCACATGCCTTTTGGTTTTTGTATGCCAACCTTGACTGCCACATCCAACAACAGTTATAATTCTGTGATCTTGGTTACATTCATTACAGATAGGTTTATATGTGTGAATTACGTCTCCCTCTAGTGCCCAAGGATATTCTAAGCCTGGGTTCCCTGGCTTTATAGTGTTCATTGAAATCCAATCTAAAGCTAAGGAATCGGAGGCTTTCATCAGAACTGGTGGTTAGTAACACCAAGAACTGTTGCACAATGCCCTGGAAGAGCGGGAAGAAAGGAGAAATCAATTAATAGATTCATAGGAAATCTCACATAAAAACATTTGAAAGCAATGGAATACAGTAAGTGTAGAATCTGTTTTTGAAATGATAGCCATGTTAACCTGCTTCACAATACATTTTTTAAAAGAGCCAAAACAAAAGTCTGGTGGCGCCGTTAAATATAAAATATTTACTCCTGTGTCATCTTTTTGGAGATCACAATCCACTGCTAACTGCCCCAGCAATGCAAAAGCAATCAGAAAGTTATTCCGTTTTCTTGACTTTTAAAGTGGCAAAGTCTTCAGTGTGCAGTGGGAGTCATTTACAACCCACTGACATTAGTTTTCTAAAAACATAAGAGCTCTCAAGTCCAGTATTGTAGTCACACCATGGCCAGCCAGATACCTGTGGGAGGTCCTGAGCATAAAGCAAATGCAGTAACAGATGTCTGCATTTTTCTCCAGTGATTTTACCCAAATGTCTGCGCAAATGTGGTTGGTCCTAGTAAAAGTATTGCTTGGTTATGGACGGGAGCTTTTTCTTATAAAGCAGTATGACTTTGTTTCATGAGTACTCTTACTAATTCAGGCCAATCCTGAATGTGCCAGGATAATGCTTTGTTAAAAAACAATTGCCTTCAAACATACATGCTGACTGCTACTCTATTAATATATTTATAAAATATTCCCTACTATAGAAAAAAATACCTGATAAAAGTGGGTTAGCAGCCGCAGCTGTGAACACAGTTTTGGTATGGAGTCTTGAAATTCTTTAATCCTTTTCATCTCTTCTTCCTGTTCTGAAGTGGTCACTCCCCATTCACCCTTAAAGACACAAATTTTAAAATGTGATGGACACAATCAAGAAGTACACAATATACATCTTCCTACAATTCTATGAATACTTGCTTGGGTAGAAACCTCACTAAGCATAGCAGGACTTGTTTCTGAATAAACATACATGCATAGGATTGCTCCGCATATTTCTGTTTTACACAAATATTTACCAAATCATTTGGAAGAAAGGAAGAGAGAAGAATCAAACAATGCCTTGGGGGTCAAGGAGTTGAGAATAAGCACAGAACAATAGATGAGCCAGAAGCAGCTAGAGTAAATTCATAATATCTCTTTAAAATGTCACTAAAATTTCCCCATACCTCATGTTCTCGTTCCCTTTTCCGTTCTTCAAACTGCAAACGTAACTGTAATTCTTCTAAGGCGGCTCGGTACATTGAATCTTGAGCATTTTGAAACTCAAGAATCTGATCAAAGACAGCTCGAAGTTGGTTAAGAAGTGTCTGGAAAGAGTTAAAAGATGAAAAGGAAACCTAAATCCATAACATGAAATGTTTGTAAGATCTTAGATGCTCTAAAAAGAAATAATATCACAAATCCTAGTGCACTGAAAGTTTCAAAGAGGAGTCGTAATTATATTTGCTGAAACCTGTTTACTGATGAGGCCAGGCTCCCAATCACAGGAACTCTCCATGCACTTCAATAAAGCACAATTCAATGTACAAACACTGTTTCAGGAAGCATGAAGCCGGCAGTGGGGCTCAACATGCATCTCCACCATTGATTTAGCTGCAGAGCTATGGCCTCTGAACATTACCACCAAAATGACTGCAGTTACTAGCATTTGAATTCTCAACATTCTTAACAATGCGTGAGCCTCACTGAAGTCAGCAAAACACACATCTGATATATGGCAGTGCACATGACTGCACTGTGTAACAGTAAGCAAATAGGACTTGAAAAATAAACATAAATAAATTGCTACAGAAATAAAGTTAATATGAAAGGCTTACTCTTGACTCAGTGTCCAGCAAACAGCGAGATATGATTGTATCCAAAAAAACCTCATGAGCTGCAATGATATGATCCAGATCTTGAGCCTGCTGAACTTTGTTCCACAGTTCATCCCAAGAACACTCAAGCACCTATGAAATGAAAAAGAAATAAGCATTGAGAACCACATTGTTCTAATGGCAGGTTAAACAGCAACTTTTCTATATTCTATATGTCAATGACATAATTAATCTTGCAACAGCAAGAACATTCTTCCTACTTAAACAATCAAAATGGATGGTTAAAGGGTACCTCAAATGTAATGTAATACTGCATTTGATGAATGAAATGGATCATTTCTGATGCCAGAACGTGACACTGATGCAGCACCCCAGAAAGCTCTGTAAGAAATCCAAAGAATTTGCATGTTAAAAATCAGAATGGAAGTGCTAATCTAATGAGACTTTTTGAAATCCCAAAACAAGTTGAATAAAATAGCTAGTTTGCACCCTTATTTGAAAGGAACACTATATACAGACTGGTAAAAGATTTTCTAAGCAAGACAATGCATAAAATTCTGCATCTGGACTAACATCTTTCCAAATTCCGTATAGTAAATCATTAAGTTATTATACTTGACAAGGCAGCTGAACTAAAGATACTAAGCCCCTTGGTATAATAATGAACGGAAACAAGGTACGCAGTATTATCAGCACTTTTGTACAAAACAATACGGTTTCATTTTTAAAAAGTCAGAAGTCAGAAGATAGTTTACTTAGAATACGGTTTCATTTTTAAAAAGTCAGAAGATAGTTTACTTAAGCCTGTGGAAGTCAATGTTGGGCAAGCAGCTGAAAACTCACACGTAGCCAAAGTCATATCCATCAAGGAGCTCCATGCAAGATATTGTGCAACTAGGTGCACAATCAGGCATGCAACAGAATTACCTTATTATTATCTTATCTAGCATAACAGGATTCTAGCCATGATATACTAGATAAGATAATGAAAACAATAGATTTCTTAGAACACTTGTGCATTTACTATTATTTTCACCAGTTATGTGTCAATGATTCCAACTTAAAGTGACTCTTGTAGGGTTTCTGAGATATGTAAGAGTGACTTTAGGGCCATATTAACCCCTGAAGCCCCCTCCCATTAGTGTGTTAATTATCATGATTGAGTATCTTCCCAGGGGTTTCCACTGCCTATTTACATTCAACATTGGATGGCACAGCTTGATTTGCAAGTGTATGATTTGTAGAGATTATAACTGCTCTTTTAGGAAAGCTCTGCTAAAATGCTTATGCCAAACTTTGTGGGGAAAGGACATAAGGGTTCACCTTCCTGTATCTCACAGTGGCCCCACCAGATTGCTTCTGGGAGCACATGAGACAACTAGATACCTGTCTCATGACACCCCTTCCCTGCATCTGGCATTTGGAGGTACCTTCCTTCTAAGCCTGGCGATTATACATGACGTAACCTGCAATGGACTTTTCTTCCAGAAATCTGTCCAATCCCCTTTTAAAGGCACCTAGGCCAGATGCCATCCCCACATCTTGTGGCATGTAGTCCCACAGACTAACAACACACTGGGTAAAGAAATATTTTCTTTTGTCTGTTCTCACTCTCCCCAACACTCAATTGGAGTGGATGTCCCCTGGTTCTGGTATTGCGTAAGAGGGAAAAGAGTGTCTCTCTATCCACTTTATCTATCCCCTGCATAATTTTATACATCTCAGTCATGTCCCCTCTCAAACGCCTTTTCTCTAGATTAAAGAGCCCCAAACGCTGTAGCGTTTCCTCATAAGACATTGTTAGTCAAGTGTACTCAAATGGGGAACAAGATTCAATGCAAGATAAGTCAGTGCCAAAGCACCTGCTTGTCCAGGTTTTTTAGACCAACCTCACCTGTTTACTGTAACCTATGACAGACCTCACCTCATTGCCTAAGAATGCACTGCCTAAGAATGCAAATTATGTTCACACCATTGACCTCCAGGGATGGGATTTTCAGACTTCTCTGACTGCAAATGCCAAAAATCCCCATTCTGGAGTTCTATGTGACTTAGGAAAGGTAAAGGTTCCCCTTGACATTTACCGTATTTTTTGCTCCATAAGACACACCGGACCTTAAGACCCACATAATTTTTAGAGGAGGAGAACAGGGAAAATATATTCTGAACCAAATAGTGTAATAAAATATTTAATAAACTATAACAGAATAACATTTGAACCATGTAAAGTGAACTGCAGTCAACAGTGGCATTAATATAGATCATTATCAGCCAGTGATAAGACCTATACCACGCTACCTATATTTTACATTTCCTTTCATCCACCTCCTCCCCATGCTTATAGAAATGTCTCAATGACAGATGAGATTGTTGTGCAACTCTGCCCAGCTACAGCTCAAGCCTATATTAAGTTAGAAACGGTTTGTCTGATTTGGCACTGCATTGAGAGGTCCCTTTTAGCTGTGTGGAGGATAAATAGTGGAATTAAACTACCGTATTTAACAGCTGGTTTTCCTCATTTACTTTAGGTTATGCAAAAAAACAGCAACACAATCCCATTCACCAGCAGTAGCACATGCTCAGCATAAGACCAAATCTCCATTTTCTGACATAATTGAACGTTTATAGCATGCAAGGCACAACA